AGGAGGGAGAGGACTAGAATCTGATCTACAGAGGGGAAGAGTTTTTAACTGACTCCCTTAGCTCCAAGTTTCACACCATTTTTGCTCAGTGAAGAGTTCTGGAAAGCCTGTCTTATTTGTAATATTCTGGTGACCCAATCAAAGTACAGCCCACCCTTGGACTTGTCTCTATAAATGGAACATGTGAACATTTTCTGTATTCACACTGACATAACTATATAAACAAACTACAACTGCTATAGATCTGGGAGTACATTTAAGATGTTTGTTTAGGCACAATGCACCATGCAATCAATCTGAACTACAGGAATGGCACAAGAAAACATGTTTGTGTGTGTGTGTGTGTGTGCGTGTGTGCAAAATTCCTATCAACTTTCATGGTTTAAATTTTTTTGTCTGCTTAAGCTTTACTTTTAAATAAATCCTATATAGATTTTTAAAAGGGATTTCTGTGATCATATCCGCTTGTCAATGATACCAAAGTACACATTTCAGCTGTATCAAAAGGGAAAATTGCAATCTGCTTTATGTCTACGGGAAGCAACTGTTTACTCATGAATTGTAATGTGGTCATAAATGAAATGCTTAGGGGAAGCTACACTTGCCATGAGGCATCAGTCATATCCTGTTAGGAATTTCCTGGTGTTCACAGATGAGACATCCAGTTTATATGGATTGTACTATACAGTACATTGTTTCACTGAAGGCCTAAACACAACAAAGGTTTACCAGATTCTACATTTTTCATCAGTTAATCCAATGATACACATTTCTGATAAAGGAAACATCAAGCCGCAAGGGTACAGTAGGTAGGTGGTTATCACATATTGTCCACTGAAATGATTGTGCTCAAAGAATAACGAACAGAAAATGAAACAGCCAATAACTTGAATGCAGTTCAGGGTTCTTGACATATTTTTGTGTGGAAAATGACAGTGTAATATCCAACATGAGTGAATTACATCCTGCTTCTCACAGGAGAAAATATGAATACTAAAAAGCAAACAAGTCCTAAATTCAGAATTTCCTTGTGGCCTAATCAGACAGAACCTGCAGCAGGTTCAAAAAATGCTCTGAAATTCTAATCTCTGTTGTACATTCTGAAAAGGATTTTTCACATCTTAGCACTGGAGAGTGAGCACAGACAACTGAAAAAACTTCCAGTTGTGCTAAGCACTTCTTTTTCTCCCTCATGAAAATAGCTAAAGATGCTGTGTTCCATGGAAGAAAATTTCTTCAAAAGCAGAATTGAAGGATGACTCATATACAACACACTTTCTGAAAACAGCCTCAAAACAATATCTGATCTTCCATTTTTATGCCAAGTACAAGAAAACCAGTTCAGTCAAGTTCAGTTATTAAAGTTACCAGTATTATTTTATTATATAATAGTTTCAGGTTGTTAACATGCAGAATCACCACAAGCTGAGAGCCAAAAGATTAGATCACACCATGTTTCAAGTGTGGGACACTAGTTAAAATCAATGTATAATGTAGTCTGAATTTAATGGGAGAAGTAATGTTCAGGAACGCCTTCAACTTCATCATTTTCTCTATCCATCCATTCTTTCTTCTATCTCTTTCTCTAAATTGCCCTCCATACCCAAGCCCTAATGAGTGGTCTGGCACCACTCACATTATAAGTTAATCACTCATATTATAAGTTAAACTCCAGCTTTACATTTTGTTGTATTTAGCACAATGTTGGATAAACTGCAGGAAATGTCTGTAACAGCCTGACTGAAATAGCTAGGTATGCCTTCTTGAGATCTATGAGGTCATGTAGTCTAGTCCCCAGGATGAGGAGTCTCTAGAAGAGATTTAAAGCTCTTTATCTTGGATTTTTTGTGTGCCACAAATCTGTTTGGGAATTTGAGGTCTAACACAGCCCTGCATATAAGCTGCCTCACTTGGGGACCACAAACAGGATGGAGCAGACTCTCATGAACTGCTCTACAGGAGGAACGTGCTATCCACTGCTCCCGTCTCAAGATGGTAGATCTCTTGTGAAAGAATTGCTAACTTGTTCTTATTCCTTGAGACTGGAGAGGAATCTGCTCCTGGGAGTCTAGTGAAAATCTATAGATAGCTCTCCTTGAGTGGCCATAGCATCCACTGATTGGAGGTTGTCCTTTCCCACAGAGAGAAAAATGGAAAGATGCCCCCTCTCCGTAAGGAGATAGTTTGTCAGAAATTTTGCTTTGGAGGTGGGAAGAGGCTTGCTGGGCCATTGCTCTGGACTGGACCTGGAGGTTGGAAATTGGACTGAAATCTTCAGTCCAAAGGGGAACAACAATTAAGGAAGTCCCTAGTGCAGGAAAATCTTTGCAGTTAATGAAAGGAGAGAACACTTCTTTTGATTTGTCTTTTATTATTTCCCCCGGTAAATCTGGCATGGTCTTCCTTTTATCTTTGACCTCCAATAGCACATCTTTGAGGGCATGTTTCCCCCTAAATTGGATCCCTGTGTAGGGAACTGCAGCGAAATTGGATTTGGAAGACGTGTCTGCATTCCAGTCTTTGATCCACAGGGATCTGTGAGTCACTTTGGTTGCAGCAGTAGATCTGGCAGCAAAGTTCAGAGAATCCTGAGTAGTATCAGCAATAAGAGCAAGGCGCCTGCATAATTTAATCAGGGAACTTTGAAATATTTTGACATCTAGGACAGAATTGTTTAATAAATCTTCCACCCATAGCATAGAAGCCCTTAGTAAGAAATTTGAATAAGCTCTAATTACTAATGCTGAAACCTCATGTACCTTCTGAAGGGCTAGGTCAGATCACTTATTATTGGGCTCCTCTTAATGTTGTGAGCCTCTTTGAGTCCCTTGTTGGGAGAAATGCGGCATATAAACTAAACAACAACAACAACTACTACTACTACTACTACTACTACTACTACTACTACTACTACTACTACTCATCATCTTCTTCTTCTTCTTCTTTTTTGAGAGCCACGGCCCTTGAGCACATAGTTGCAATAAGTGCATCTACCACAGGGACTTTTAAATCCTCCATTGGCCAAGAGGCAAGGAGATACATTTTCTGGGCAAGAACAGAACTTTCCTTACCGTGAGAAGTAATTTCCCATTCAGCCTTTACTAATTTGTCAAAAGAGACTCGGAAGGGAGCTTCTCTGCAAGGTACTTTTGCCTCAGGGAACACAAATACACTACATGCTGAATTCTCTATGGGAATTTGATCAGAGGCTATGGGGTGCTGCAACTCTAATGAAGCTCTTACTAGAAAACGATGGGATAAAATAATCGTATTTGAATAAACAAATGTTGGCAGTTGATTCCAGCTGAGCAGAGTCTGACCATTCCCCTGGATCCCCCATCTGACCACTCGGACTGGGCAGAGGAGCAAACCACATCTGTATCTGGTGACACATCCCCTATGTCCGTATGAGGAGAAGCATATTCCACCTTATCAGGATAGAAAGGTGGGGAAGGACAGTGCTTCAGTAGTAGCAACCAGAAGCCTGGTATGTTTCTCTTTCTAAAATGTTGGTGTTTTAACAGTAACTGCATGAGAGTATATAAGACTTCAAGCTTTCTTAGGAGGAGGTTGAACAGGGTTGCAATTTGCCCTGCATCTCCCTTGAATGGCAGCTTTAATCTTGTTAACTAGGGACTCTTCATTTAAAAGGGACAGCTGAAAGATTGCTAGAGACCGTTCAAAATGGCTACCATGAGGTGGCACCACAAACTGGCTAGTGCCCTCAACCTGCCTTATAAGCTATAGAGGTGCCTTCTGGAGAGATCTGGGGGAGGACCATCAGGGAATGGCCATCTTTGTCTTTTTAAAAGGGCTGGCATCCTTGTTTTGGCAGGAAATAGCCTCAGCCTCCTGTCCCCAGGACTGTGCAAACCTCCTCTGTACTGCTGTTGATATATGTCCTCTGAGCGGCTTTAAACCCTTCATCACTGCTGATAAGGAGTCTGAATCAATTTTCCCTTCTGAGGTGGTGGTGGGAAGGGAAAAACCACATAAAACCTCAGGAGGAGATACTGCAGAGAGAGGTGATGCAGTGAACAAAGCAGCTGCTGCCCACACCTTACAGAGGTGGGAGGAGATGCCACACAGGTGTGCTTCATGGATGATTTTGAAGAGACTATCAGATTTACCCACTGAGACAAACGGGAGGAAAAAACAACACCATGGAAGGCTCAAAGAAATATAGGGAAACAAGGTACAGTATAGGAAGAGTGAAGAAAGGAGTGTTATAATGGTTAGAAAGAAGATATCAAAAGCCATAAAGAGGAGAGAGCAAGAACTGAGGCCTGTTCTAGGCAAAGGCAAGTGAAGAAAAATTGGGAGGAGCTTGTGGATCAGGACTGCTAAGGTCTTTTAAATTCATTCCTTCTGCCCTAGATTGGGCTGAGAAAGGAATTAATCCAGTCCTGGATGGCTACTTCCTGCAAACCAAGAATTCAAGGTCGCTTTGTGAAACTGACTGGCAGAAAGTCCAGGCGGACAAGAGAAACAGTTCTTCAAATAATTGGAGTTCCCCCATCATCTCATGCAGAGAATGGCCTTAAAAGCTGCAAATTTCTATCCATGGTTATTAAGTGCTATAGCTAACGGATAACTCCAGTCAGAAGCAGTATACAGTATTTCTGAATTTTAGATGACTAAGACATACAAATGGGGAAGACCTACTGGTAAGAATCCTAGAGGCAGAAAGCTGTAAAGTTTTGGAAATAGGACCATGGGATTCAACAGGACTATGGGATTCTAAGACATTTTTAACATTCAGTTAAAGGAATTCTAGACCCTAAGTTCCCAACCTTTGTTACTCAGATGTTTTTGAACTGCAACTCCCAGAAACCCCAGCCAGCACAGTTGGTGGTGAAGGCTTCTGGAAGTTTCAGAGCTAGCAAGACATTTTTAACATTCAGTTAAAGGAATTCTAGACCAAACAGAAGAGATGGAATCTGAAAACAACAGAGTCTACATTTGCTCGGCTGACTCAGGAAAAAATATGAAACTCATACCTGGTGCAGTTCTGTAAGTCACCGTTCTGGTGGGCAATGGAGGTGTACTCTTTGCAACAGGGCTCTTTGTAAGCTGCAAACCCTGCCTCTGTCTTTTCAGTTCCTCTTCTCTCTCTTGGGCTGCACGGATCTCCTCTTCTATCATGGACAAAGTCCTCTGCTTTTTTGACCTTAGTTTGAAAGGCCCTACGGTCACCTCTGATTCTTGCATAGCCAGAATGGAAGCTGTGCTTCTGAGCTCAGCTGCTTCTGAGTACTTGCTGAAATAGCTGACTTCTGGCTTCGTTTCCTCCACAGTGACGGGTTGGGTGGCATGCACAGTGTGAGGTGGCTGCAGGGTCTGCTTTTCCCTGAGTGCAGAGTCTTGGATTGCAGAAATCTTTGGTGCTGTATCCTGTTTTTCCTGCACTGGAGACGACACCTGAGGTGGTTGAAATGTTGGATTGTGCTGTTTTTCAGAACACAGTGTCTTTTTGTCTTTCTCCTCTTGCTCCTTGACAAGACGATTCTTTTGTTCTGTGGTATCTTTTGCTTGCTTGGAGTTGATTTTATCAGCTTGCTCAGCTATGGCTTGCTGAATGGCATTTTGAACCAGCAGACCAGCCTGATGCTCCAACTGTTCATCAATGAGCATGGAATCAAGCGAGGGCGAGGAAGGAGAATAAAACCCGTGGTCACTGAATGACTTCGAGACACTTTCTCCTTGACACTCAGAAGGTGTGTTAGCTTGAGGGGTCTGGGGCAAAGAAAAGTCGGTGAGTGAATTTTCTTGCAGGACATTCATTGTCTCATTAGAGGCACCACTGTCACTTACATTGTCCATGCTGAAATCATTGGAGAGCGTTTCCAAAACAGTTGTATCCTGGGATCTCACAGACAACTCATCCAAACCAGAGTCCAACTCTTCTGGAGGGGAAGAGACATTGACTGACCTTGAGAACTGTTCCAATATGCTCTGCTCATCATCTCTCACCACTGTAAAAACTGCTTTTGCACTAGTGAATTCAGCATCATCTGACCACATTTTGGTTGTCTGGCTTGGCTTTGTGGGATCAGTGAACGGAGATATTTGTGCTAGGTCACCAGGAATATTCTGAATACTGTTGTCATCTGAGATGCAAGAGACCTTCTCAGCCTTTACAATGGTTATATCATTATTGCCAACTGGCACACTTTGTCCACACCCAGATGCAGGTCTGGTAACTGTGACTGATCGACGGTCCATTTGGGATGGTCCTATTGGTTTGTAGAAGGGTTGGACAGTGAACATTTTGGGTGTCCCTGATCTCTTGTGTGCAGTCGTGTTACTTGCCTGGCCTGAATTTTCCATTAATTGAAATTGTTTCCTTGCAGCTGAAAAATCTATTTGTTCAGTGACAACATCATCCTTTTTAATGCTTGCTGGATCAGGTGATGCAAGGGAGTAAGAGACATGTTTCATAGGCATTGATGGTTGCTGTTGCTGCTGTTTTTCTTTGCGCTCTTTGTATTTTTTGTGAGACTCCAAATGTTCCTCCTCCAGTGTTTTTTCCTGGGGTGGGTTCCACCACTTTGCGGCTATGCCTGGGTTCTTCTTGACAGCCTGGCTTCGGATGAGCTCCCTCCTTTCTTTTTCCAACTCTACCATTTCCTCAGAAGGTCTCAGTTTACGCACCCTATAATTCTCTTGTGGCTCCTCATCTTCAAAAAGTTTGGATGGCTTTTTCTCTTCATGAAATGCTCTAAGCTCAAACTTTGCTTCTTTTTTAATGGTGGTCAGTGTTGCTTCTCCATCTTTGGAAGACCTTGAGCTTGTGGAAGAGCATGGACTCACTGGCACTTTAAGACTGTCACAGTGTTCCTCTTGCAGTACATCCAGAGAATGGCCATTTGGTTTTAGTTTCCCAGACACTACAATTATTCCACTGTGTTCAGTGATGGGAGATGCCTGCCCACCAACTACAGTGATGCTACTTTTACTGAGTGCTGTAGAATCATTTGTAATATGAACAGATGGAGCAGAGCCATCTACAACAATAGATGCACTTGGTTCAGGAGAGGAGGAAGTCATCCCATTAAATGGGTTATCAGTAGCAGAATCACAACAGTTTGCCTCTAGCACTTCATCAAGATATCTGATTTCTTTAGCAACTTCACTGTCCAAGGATTCATGTCTCTCTTTAAGTCCATTGTGACTGGCAGCAGGGGAAAGTAAGTGAGTTTGATTGTCTGCAGCACAAGTTGAAGTCCCCACTGTGACATTTTTATGCTCTGAGACAAAGTCTTCAATTTCCATTTTCTCTTCCTTCCTTGAACGAACACTCGCAGATTCCAGGAGATTGGCACAGAAACGACCTCGTTCTTTTTTCAACCTGATGTCATCCTCAGAAAGTCTAGATGATTTCTGAAAAGGCAATACAAAATATAAACATTATATAGAAAACAGATTGATCCAATGCTTCTTTCACATAATCTATACAGACATTTGTAGTAGTTAATTGGGAAGTGAGATTTAAAACCCAGTAAAAAGTTAACTTTTAGATCTCCCTTTATGTTCACTGTTACTACATAACTAATAGTTATTTGCCACTGCTTGCTTTGTTCCTAAGCTCTCTCATGGACGCACCAACTCTTTCTTTAAAAAAACAAAACACTGGTAAAGCAATATATTTTTATATTTGAGGAAAATGATGCACCAAACATGTGCTGCACAGACATGCACAGTTTATTTTTTAAATTATGGCATCAAACCCAGTGAGGTGAGATGACTTGTTAATTACCTTCTTGAGGAATTAATCTGTGCTGCTAAACCCGTGTTATGGTACTGATCTCCATGATCCAAAGTGCTATTCTAGATATGTCCAAGGTTTGTTTCAAAGATGTCTAAAAGAAATGACTTCTTTTCGAGAAGCAGGTCTATGTTCTTTCCACCATCAAGCCACATCTGAAAGTTAGCCCATTTTCAAAAGTAATCTGCCATATGAAATGGTGGGGCTACTGTTCATAGAACACAAGTGCAAAATCATTTGGGGCTGTGTATAATCATGGTCCCCTTCACAGATTGCTGCCTTGTAGTGGTGAAGGGCTTGAGCAACTCAGAGTAGCTATGGACTAGGACGTGCAGGGACTCCCAAGATGGACAGGTCATGGTGGAGAGTTCTGACTAAACATAATCCACCTGGAGCAGGAACTGGCAAGCCACTCCAGTATCTGTGCCAAGAAAACTCCATGGACAGAAACAAAAGGCTAAAAGATATCATGCTGGAAGATGAGCCCCTCAGGTCAAAAGGCATCCAACATGCTACTGAGGAAGAGTGGAGGACAAGTACAAGTAGCTCCAGAGCTAATGAAGTGGTTGGGCTAAAGCCGAAAGTACGCTCAGCGGTGGACATGCCTGGAAGTGAAAGGAAAGTCCGATGCTGCAAATAAAAATACTGCATAGGAACCTGGAATGTAAGATCTATGAACCTTGGTAAGCTGGATGTGGTCAAACAGGAGATGGCAAGAATAAACATTGACGAGACCGGCTTGACGCCGCAACGAGACAGCAGCAGGAGGATGGAGCTCTGTTCGCTGGGCTGAATTCTGACCTGTTTGGGACACCCCAGGGTGTTGAAACCGCCCCAAAGGGGTGGTGAACTGGGGGGGGAGCCTGTTGATCACAGGGGAAACGGCGGTTATCCCCATTTGATCCAAGAAACTCCCCAATCAGCCAGCAGGCAGAAACAAGCAGCTAGGAAGCTTGCTTGCAAGTCGTTGGCAGCCGGCAATAAGAGAAGCAACAATCAGCTATTTAACATCAGTGTTATTATCAGGTGAGATATATTTTTACAACTAATTGCTTATGATTACCCCTGGAGAAGAAAATTCCTATATACAGAAAAAAGAATCTTCTATCAATCTCATCATTCATAGAGCGGCAGAAAATCTGGAGGAAGGGATAGTTGATGCAAAAAAAATAATTTAAAGATTAATGGGGCATTAACTACTAATTTAAATACATTTAAAATATACTTTAAGAATATTATAATTTGGCGTTATAAATCTTAAGAAATTTTCTTGTAAGCTATTACTAGTTAAGTCTGGAATTATCTTATGTTTTGGCTACCTGAAGTCTTTTGGCATAATGCCCAGAACAGTGACTTTGAGCACTCTACAGTGGGGTCTTGACTTGAGAACTTAATCCGTATTGGAAGGCGGTTCTCAAGTCAAAAAGTCTGTAGGTCAAGTCTCCATTGACCTACAGTGCATTGAAAACCGATTAATCCCGTAACAGGCCGTTTTTGCTCCATTTTGGTTTTTTTCTGGTCTGTAAGTCAATTCTCAGGCTGCAAGTCAAACCTAAATTTTGCAGCCAGAGAAGTCTGTAACTCAAAAAGTCTGTAAGTCAAGCCGTCTGTAAGTCAAGGGTCCACTGTACTGCTGTTTAAAGCTTGGAAACCTGTTTTTTTATTTCCTTTTGATTTTTTCATGCTTGCCTGGAACATAGACAAATTAACTCTAAAGTGGATCTTTTTGAAATGTACTTTGGGAATCAGTATATTGGGCCAAAGTGAACTTTTTGGAACCACCTCCAGGGACTTGGAATTTCACTTTTGGCCGATGCAGAATTGCAGGAACTAGGCTACCAGGACATGGATACAAACACTGAATTGGACTGTGATATTTGGGGGTTTTGAACCTCGTTTCAGGCCTATTTGGCCAAAATAGATCCTCTGAAACTGCCCCGGGAGATGGAAGAAGCTGGTGTAAACCTGTGGGAATTAGGTCATCAGGCTGCGGATACAACTATTGCATTGTACATTGGTACTGTACTTTGGGGGTTTAAAGTTTGGCTCAGGCCTATTTAGCCAAAGCGAACTCTTTGAACTGACTCTGGAGACTTGGAGTATCTGTTCAGCTGGCATCAATTTGCCAGGGATCAATTAGGACACAGATACAATCATCGAACTGGACTGTGAGACTTGGGGGCTTTGAATCTTGGCTTAAGTGCTTGGGTAGCTAGAACAGAATGGCACAACAAGGATAATTTTGGGATGAAACAAAATCTACCCTTCAAACAATACTAGAAATAGTGAGATCCCATTACCAAGAGGCAAAATTATTCAATCAACATCTGAAGAACTATAGTCAACAAGCGACAGGGAACAACGAAGAAGGAAATGAGAGTGTGCCAGATGATAGTATGCCAATCAAAAGAGGGACTGGAGGAAATTAATGGGGATAACCTAAGAGAAACAACTTCAATCTTGGATCCGAGGAGAGTATTAAGGGAAGGCAAGGGGAGAAAATCAGCAAAATTAATTTTTAAAAGCCTGGAAGATCTACTGAAGATAGACCAAGTGCATAAAGATCTAGTGGAGATAAATCAGATGCATAAAATGGTTTCAGAGGCATGAAAAATGGCAGAATGCTTAGGGAGACAGAAACAAAAAGTGAAAAAGAGAAATAAGAGAGGGAATTACACAGAAAGATGAAAAAGGGAAAAAATAGGAAGGGGGACCTTAATGTTGAAAAATATGTATATATTTAACTTTGGGAATTGTAAAGGAGCATATCCTTTATATTAAAAAGGAGAATTAAATTGAAA